GCCTCTGGCGGTCTTCAAGGTCTCTGTTGCCATAGGCACTCCAAATCTATGCAGAATCTTCTGCACCAGAAATGCAAAAGGCAATTCAGCCTTCTTTGACTTGGCTGCCTTCCACATCAGTATGCATATGTAATGCCTCCAGTTCACCTGCTGACTGTGAAGGAGGGCCCACAGGATGACAAAGTCCCCTTCCAGCACCTTTGAGTGATTATGCGGGCGCTGGAAAATAATATGTGTCACCACATAATGAAGAATGCGAGCAGAAACTGACAAGTTGCTAACAGGATAATGAGCAAAATGACCGGGCTCAGCGTCTGCCCTCCTAGTCTCTGTAACAATGGTCTCCCGGTTATAATCACCAAATATATGATGGCTGTCTCCATCATATAGTGCTGCTCCTGAGACACCATCAAAATTGAACCCCAGTAGCTCCGTCCAGATAGGAGCAGTCATGATGATATCAATCCCGCATACACGGGAAGTCAGCTCGCCTTGCGAGTAGCCAAGGTTCTGGTAGAAGGCTCTTACCATAACCTCCGAGTATGGGCACCGCATCTCCGCCAGGTGAAGTAAATGTGTCTGCTCAAGAAGCGGCACGATGTCAAAACGCTCTAGGTTGAAGAATGCCGAATCCAGTGATTTCGGTTCGCAGATCTTCCGGGTCATGAAAAACTTCACGAACTTCTCGTGTGAAGGAATGTCATCCTCAAACAAATATCCGAACGTCAAGTCCGGAGCCTGACTCGAAGCAGCCTGGGGCTGAGAGGATGACGACCCATCGTGACGACTCTTGGTTCTTCTCTCGGAATGGGTCACTGGCAGCTTTGAAACGCGTCGAGAGGTCATTGTGTCACACTATTAAACTGAAAAAATAACCAAAATCAGAAATTAGATACATGTTAGGGTTAGGGTTAGGGTTAGGGTTAGGGTTAGGGTTAGGGTTAGGGTTAGATTCAGGGTTAGGGTAAGCGTATGACATACAAATTGATAAAATAATTCGGACAGAATCAAATGATATAAACGAAAACAATGAATCAGAACAGAAATCATAACATAATTGAAAAAACTGAAAAAAAAATGCACCTTTGATCGATTTCAATCGGTAGAAGGCAGAGAGGTTGCAAGGTCCGCGAATGATGATCACAAACAAGACGAATTAGTGCAAGATTATGCCTCAAATCGCTCAAGATGACACTCCTCCAGCAGCTCTACTCGGGTACCCCTTTTGTGGGTTTTCGAATGGGGCTGCTGGGGTATTTTAAAACCCTACCGTCGCGATTTACCCGGGTACACTTCTACGTACCCGGGTAAATAATTCATACATTTTCCCAGATTCAAGAACTCTACCCGGGTACATCCCTACATACTCGGGTAGATAAAAAGTTTCAAAATTTACCCGGGTAGATAATGGTGTACCCGGGTAGGCTTCGTGGTCAACGGTCAAACAGGGGCAGATTGGTGTTATGTTTGTTGGGGAGGGTAAATTTTCGAAATAGTTTTGAATGAGGGGCAATTTGGTAATTAATTATTAATTAAGGGGCATAAGGGTCAAAAAGCCTTACCTTGCAATATATTAAAATTACAAAAACACATTGATTTCTGTTTCAAAACAACGTGATTTTAACTCACCGAAAATAATTTAATTCCATTGATCAAAAAAATCTTCTATCCTTATAAAAAATATAATATTTAAGAAAATCATTTATATGTTGACAGATGGGGATGAATTGTGATTTTCAATCCACTTTTAAAGATAAGCAAAATGAATTAACTCGTTTTAAAACGGGTTTGGTTGGATGGATTATCAGTTTTTTCATTACTAATTTATTTTAGAGCTATCTATTTTTTTTCTGTCATATTAACATAAAAAGTGAATAATTTATTTTTTTTTGTAACGAGACCTGCTTACTTTTATATTAATGAGACATAAATTTTTTTTTTCAACAAAAGCAAAACTATTTTTCTTTTATTTTATCACCTAATGCTTTCTTAATTCGTCTCATCCCTTAATTTACAATTTTACATAAATTATTTCCCTTTTAGTAAAAGGCTAACTTTCACTGGCACATCGTGGACAGCAGCACTCTCTCCATCAATAACTCGAAAAAAAATTCATATTCTTATATAAGAGACTTATATTACAACTGTTTTATTATTGAGTTTTCGTTTTTTCCTTTAACATGACATGATAAAGTTTCTTACACACACACAATATTTTGTGGGGTCCGTATTTTTTGAAGTAAAAAGAAAAAGAAAAAACTAAGGCACGAAAAACGAATCTCAGTAACATGACACACTCATTTTTCCTACAACATAACTTTTATAAAACCCTTTATTATTAGAAGAATATTACACTCTTGTTTTTTTTAGTAACTATATTACACTCGTATTATAATACTAAAGATTCAGTGTGTCACTTACTGAAAATTAAAAAATAATTAACTTAATTGCTTTTATTTCATTCATTCATTTATTGTTAATGAATAAGTTATATTTTTTTATACCTTTAATAAAAAAGTATGTATTACAGGAATATTGAAGATTTTTTTTATTTGGTAGACAAAATTTTCTTTTAAAAATAAAACCTTCTCACTAATTGATCAAATTTTTTGCTTGATGGGCTTACGGAAGCAAGTTTACTTTTAGTTTTAACACTGTATTAATTAAACTTATTTTATATGTATCAAAACTTTATTTGGATTTCTAGATGTTTTAACATGACTCTAAATTGTCGTACCATGTTATGTATAAATCATTTCCGAGGTATAAAACACTGGCTCTAATTCGATCAAACGTTGAGATTTTTGTATGTGATTTCGTTTACACATTTTGTTTTTGTTTTGTACACACAATTTTCAGTTGCATACATAATTACACTTTAAGGTTCTTCCTTGCAAAGTATCCTACAGAAAGAAGGAAAAATAATTTTTCACTATGTACAAATATAAAAAAATGTACATAAATTTAAGAATTCTCCTGTCAAATAGATTGCGAAATATACAAGCCGTAGTATTTAAATAGAAGGTCTAAGAGTCATTTGGGTCATTTGAGTGTAGCATAATTGATGAAAGCAAAATTGTTCTTGCAATACGAATTGTAAATTGTTCAATTATTATTATTTTTTTACCGCGAATCATAAATAATGTTGAATGGTAAGTGTTCCGGATGGCCCAACAACACAGCGACCCAAAGGTCCAGGCCCAATCTCAACCCTCAATCCACGTCAGTCCTACCAGCTGGTAAGATCCCCCAACTCCCAACGCGACGACTCTTCCTAGGGGAAACACCAAAATGTCCTATCTTGGGACCCCAACTCCCAAAGGTAGTCGCCCCAGATGCCATAAGGAGAAACTGTTCTTTGTCCCACGCTGACACCGCCAGGCACAGGGGGCGCAGCGCTGCTATCACAGCAGCGTCTGCCACGCCCAGCACTGCCACCCTTAGCAGATCCCAAGGAGGGTTGACCCCCTCCTCACCAACCCAAGCAAGATTCACATCACCTTCCCTATAAATAGCCCCCTGGGCACATGAAGAAGGTATCTTATGTGTCGTTATTATGCTCATTTGTATTAAGTCACATATACACACACTAAATCCTCCATTATTATCTTCTTGCCTTCATACTTGGAACAATGTCTTCTAGCTTGGTCTTTACCTCTGCTAGTGGCACCATCCATACAGTGACATCATCCCCAAAGGGAATATAGTGGGCTTATAGATCCTAACGGTACATTGGCGCCGTCTGTGGGAAAGTATAAACTTATATTCTCATTCTCCTACCAAAGATCTAAAGGAGGCATTTCACCATCTGATAGCTATACATGGCTGTCACGACAAGAAGAGCGGAACAAACTAGAGCCGGTACCCCAGAAGGTCATGCACAAACAGTTCATTCCAACTCCCCACCATCCATGCATTCAACCCCAGCTGAACAAGCAGCCGGCGAGGCCCTTCCCCCGGTGCTGCAATCTGTTGGCCCACCGATAGCAGCAGCTGACGCTAGAGCAGCACTGTTGAATCGTCGCGTGGCCATACGCGAAATGCAAGGAGAGAACTTGATCCCAAATCAACCTCCACCACCAGGAGTTCGTTTTGGGATGCCACTCCCTACCCCTGGTCCACACATCATCCCCCCAGCTCATCACCAACAACCGGCCAGAAGTCAGCCTGTCGCTATGCACAACAACCATCAAGTCCTAATGGTCGCCCCATATCCCCCTGGACCTTACACCCACAATGTTGCTGCCACTTACCCTCCACCTTTCCCTACTGGCTTTCCATTCCACGGTTACGCAATACTGCCCCATAATACAATCATCCCACAACCCCAAGGATCTAGCATGATTCCAGGCTCGCCACAGTATGGCGCCCATCAAGCCCCAGCCCTCTCTTACTCTGTTGAGGCCCCCCAAGCACCACACCCACCACCAGACCTACATACTCGTAACCCGAACTTACGAATAACACCCGCTAATACCTCAAGACGCAACAAACCCCTGACCGATAGTCTACGCCTAAAGCCCATACCCCTTGGTTTCAAAGGACCATCAAATATCACAACGTATGTGGGCGACATAGATCCTTTTGAATGGATCCAGAAATTTGAGGCAGCAATGACCCTGCATGGCGAGACATACCTCCTTATGTGCAGTACTTTCCCTACACTCTTGGGGGTAAAGCTTCGACATGGTACACCACTTTTCCAACGGGGAGTATAGCATCCTGGGATGATCTGGCCAGCAAATTCCAGACCCACTTCGCAACAAGTCGCCCAGTGCCCAAGTCTGTACATGCCCTCGAAAAAATTCGCCAGCAATCCAGGGAACCCCTCAGATCTTTCTTCAACCACTTCGACAAAGAGGATCTTCAGGTGCAAGGCTTAGACCCTAAAGTGCAGGTGCACATACTCTTGTCAGCCTGCGCCAAGGGGCGTTCGTATATGAGCTCGCCGCCATGAAATTACTGACCTCGAAGAGGTCAAGAAAAAGGCTAAAGAGTTCATGAGAATTGAAGAGTATAAGGGGAGTAGAGTTGACGACTCTCATAACCGAGAGAAGAAAGCCAACAAAAAAGACCACCAGGATGAAGAGAGGAAAAGTCACAAATCCTCCAAGTATTCCAACCGCCCTTTAGGGCGTGATTCCCAAAGGTTCCATTCACACAACGTCATGCAAACTGAATACACAGAACGCAAGAGTAACCCACAGCCCCAACAGCCAGACAAGGAGATCACCGTGTATTGCAAATTCCACCGTAGCAATGGCCATAGCACTGAAGAGTGCAGATCCCTCAAGGATGAGATTGACGAGCTAATCAAGGGAGGCTCCCAAAGGCAGACGAATAATTCTGGGCGTGAGATCGGTGCCGGCAGGCGTCGCCGTGATCGTAGCAGGTCACCAGAAAGGCGAAGAACCGACCAGTATGACTAGTTGACTACAGACCTCGCCGCGAACATAACCACAGAGAAAACTCCCCAAGAAACCGCAGGGTCCAAACCAGCCCAAACAATAGTGAAGGGCGCGCAGAGCGTGACGAGGATCCGACTGTCATCAAGCACAGAATTATAAACATGACTGCAAGCGGACTAAGTGGCGGTGGAGAAACGACAAACGCCAGAAAGAAACATTTGAAACAGTGTTTTGCGGTGTCTGGAAAGATCATCAACAAAGCCAAAGCCAACCCAGAACACTCCAGGCCTAAAATTGTTTGGGACAACATCGATTTGGGCGACGTCCTACCCGGACATGATGACCCCTTAGTCATCCAAGCAATAATAGCTAATTTTGGCGTTAATCGCGTGTTTGTTGACCATGGCAGCTCTGCTGACATCTTATTTTTACCTTGTTTCAGGGCATTAGGGTTTACGGTCAATGACTTAACCCCTGTTGTTGGTGAGCTGTCAGGTTTCAATACAACAGTAACCAAGCCCCTCGGCATGATAAATCTACGCTTATCAATGGGAACGCCACCCACTTCAAGGTCTGCAGACATCCAGTTCTTAGTTCTTGCCACCCCGTCAGCATACAACGCCATCCTCGGAAGGAGGATGTTTGCCGCATTTGAGGCGAGCGTATCTCACCCACATCTTGCAATGAAGTTCTTAGCTAGGGATAACAAAATCGCTACGGTTAAAGGAGACCAGATGGTAGCACGGAGCTGTTGCAACATATCTTTGAAACCGGCAACCAGGGTTACCTTCAAGGACCAACCAGCGCCTCAATTGATAATAACCCAGGTAACTAAAGAAAACCCTAGCAGCAATAATAAGGAACTTGACCAGTGCTTTCTTGTAGAATTTGACGCAAGGGATGACCCCCGGGTGGAACACTCCAGGCCTACTCCAGATGGAGCATTAGAGCACGTCGTCTTGGGCGATGCAGACCACCAAACAACCACAATCGGGGCGATCGCCGATCTTGAAGTAAAAAACAGGTTGATTGAACTGCTACGAGGTAATAGAGATCTGTTCGCCTGGAAACTGTCTGATATGCCTGGCATCGACCCCGAAGTGTGCTGCCATCGATTGACCGTGGACCCCAAAGCAAAGCCGGTCTCACAAAAAAAAAAGTTTGGCCCCGATCGCCAGAAGGTGATCGATGAGGAAGTAAAAAGGCTCCATGACGCTGGCTTCATTAAAAAACTTAAGTATACAACCTGACTCTCCAACCCAGTATTGGTTAAAAAGCCCAGCGGGGCGTGGAGGATGTCCGCCGATTACACTGACCTGAACAAAGTGTGCCCTAAGGACGCTTATCCATTTTCAAGCATTGACCAGCTGGTTGATGATGCATCTGGCCTCAAAATACTCTCATTCATGGATGATTATTCCGGCTATAATCAAATTCCGTTACTTGAAGAGGACCAAATCAAGACGGCGTTCATCACCCAGAACGCCAATTATTGCTATACTATAATGCCCTTCGGACTGAAGAACGCCGGTGCCACATACCAGCGAATGATGAATGAAGTGTTCAAGGACTTGATTTGTGATAGCATTGAGGTTTACATTGATGATATGATCGCCAAGTCGCAAACGCCAGAGCAACACCTATCACATCTCCAAAGCGTGTTTGATAGGTTGTGAAAGTACCACATGCGACTCAATCCAAGCAAATGCGCCTTTGGCGTTCCGGCGGGCAAGTTTCTTGGCTTCATGCTAACAGAAAGGGGCATTGAGGTCAACCCCGATAAGTGCAAAGCGGTTATAGAAATGCGAAGCCCCCAAACAGTCAAAGAGGTTCAGCAACTGACCGAGAGGCTAGTGGCCCTTACCCGATTCTTGGGGAATTCTGCACACAAATCGCTCCCTTTGTTTGGCTTGCTCAAAAAAGGTACGTCCTTCCAATGGTATGATGAATGTGAGAAAGCTTTTCAGGAATTCAAAAGAGCATTGTCCTGCCCGCCGGTCCTCACAAAGCCAGACAGTGGAGAAACCCTGTACTTATACCTCGCTGTGGGCTCTGAGGCCATCAGCGCAGCTTTGGTCAGAGAGCCAAAAGAAGAAGGACATAAGCCAATTTACTTCGTCAGCAAAGTGTTGCAGGGGGCTGAACTACGGTATCAACAAGTTGAAAAGTTCGCGCACTCACACTCATCTTCGCCGCACGAAGACTGAGGTCGTACTTCCAATGCCACCCAATTACAGTCAGGACCAATCAACCTATCCGCCAAGTCTTGCACAAACCTGATCTCGCCGGCAGCATGATGTCTTGGGCGATTGAGCTGTCGGAGTACCAGATCAATTATGAGCCTAGAACCGCCATTAAGGCTCAAGCTCTCACAGATTTCATAGCCGAAATGATGCACACCTGCATCGTAGATAGCCTAGCAACTGAAACCCCACGGTTATCGATATGGAGGCTATATGTCGATGGCTCTACCAACGCCAAAGGATCCGGAGCCGGAATGATAGTTGAAAATCCAGACGGTGTGGCGATGAAGCATTCTTTATCTTTCAACTTTAATACCACTAACAACCAAGCTGATTATGAGGCCATGATTGCCGGCCTGCTTCAAGCCAAAGAGTTGGGAGCTCAACATCTCAAGGTCTTCAGTGATTCTCAGTTGGTAACATTTCAAATTTCGGGTGAATATCAAGCTAAAGGGCCGCTGATGTGCAAGTACTTAGAGAAAGTCAAAGAGATAATTTTGGCATTCAAGACAGTTGAATTTGAGCACATTAGGCGGTCAGAGAACACACGTGCAAACATTCTCGCCAAGATAGCAAGCACAAAAAGTCTAGGTAATAATCGTTTCGTCATCCAGCATAACCTGCCTAATCCATGCATCGTCATGAGTATTGCAGACATCGCTAAAGGAGTCGCCGAAAGTACCTGGATCACTCCCATCTCTAACTACCTATCAGAAGGTATCCTCCCAGCGGACTAGATGGAAGCCAAGAGGATAAAGCGGAAATGCGCTCACTTTTGCATGATGCAGGGGCGCTTATACAAAAGAGGTTGCTCAACTCCACTCTTGAAATGCCTGAACCCCAGCGATGTTGGGTACATTTTGGAAGAAATCCATGAAGGAATCAATGGCCACCACACGGACGGCCACTCTCTGGCAAAGAAAGCGCTCCGAGTAGGTTTTAATTGGCTGACCATGGAGCGTGACGCCCATGAGCACGTGAAGACGTGTGATAAGTGCCAAAGGTTTGCAGACATACATAAAGTCCCACCAGAAGAACTGACTGTGATAACATCACCCTGACCTTTTTACAAATGGGGGATGGATATCCTAGGCCCTTTCCCTGAGGCGGTAGGCAGAGTCCAATGGCTGATTGTCGCCATTGACTATTTCACCAAATGGGTTGAAGCAGAGCCAGTTGCTACCATTACTTCTCAAAGGGTGAGGAAGTTTTTCTGGAGAAACATCATTTACCGTTTTGGAATCCCAGGAGAAGTCATAACGGACAACGGCACCCAGTTTACAGATGCCAAGTTCCGGGAACTAATGAAGGACCTGCACATTCGACACCACTTCGCTGCAGTAACGGACTAGTGGAATCAGCTAACAAAATGCTAGCTAAGGGAATCAAGAAGAAGCTGGAATCTCATAAGGGGGCGTGGGTGGAAAATCTTGAGAACGTCTTGTGGGGCTATCGGACAACCGTCCAGTCTAGTACCGGAGAAACCCCTTTTAGATTGACTTACGACATAGAGGCAATGATTCCCGTCGAAATCGGAGAGCCCTCCTGGAGGAAAGACCATGTGACCGAAGTGACCAATAGTCAAAATCTCAATGAAGCATTAGACCTTCTGGATGAGCTCCGAGAGCGAGCAGCACAATCTGAGCGCCAAACCAAGGAAAGGGTAGCCGCTCGATACAACAAAAGAGTAATCGTGAGGAAATTTGAAGTAAAGGATTTAGTCCTTCGGCGAGCAGACATCGGAAACAAGAACGCCCGTGAGGGCAAGCTCGCCCCAAACTGGGAAGGACCTTATCGAATAGCCAACGAATTAGGAGGAGGAACTTATGCTTTGGAGACACTTGAGGGGAAGGCCATCCCAAGGGCGTTGAACGCTGACAAGCTCCGACGATATTATAGTTAAACCACAATGTAACCTGTATTTAATCAATAATATCGCATTGGTTCCTTCTCTGTCTCTTAGGATCAAATTTACGGGATGGTCCTCACCCCCGCCAAACGTTGGACTGGGATGGTTTTCACCCCCAGCCAACATTAAAGTTACGAGATGGTTCTCACCCCCGCCAAATGTTGGACTGGGATGGTTCTTACCCCTAGCCAACATTAAATTTACGGGATGGTTCTTACCCCCGCCAAACGTTGGACTGAGATGGTTCTCACCCCCAGTCAACATTAAATTTACGGGATGGTTCTCACCCCCGTCAAACGTTGGACTGGGATGGTTCTCACCCCCTGTCAACATTAAAGTTACAGGATGGTCCTCACCCCCGCCAAACGTTGGACTGGGATGGTTCTCACCCACTGTCAACATTAAAGTTACGGGATGGTTCTCACCCCCGCCAAACGTTGGACTGGGATGGTTCTCACCCCCAGCCAACACTAAAGTTACGGGATGGTTCTCACCCTCTCCAAACGTTGGACTGGGATGGTTCTCACCCGAAGCCAACACTAAAGTTACGGGATGATTCTCACCCTCGCCAAACGTTGGACTGGGATGGTTCTCACCCCCCGCCAAACGTTGGACTGAGACGGCTCTCACCCCCCAGCCAACACTAAAGTTACGGGAGGGTTCTCACTCCCGCCTAATCTTGGACTGAAATGATGGGTGCTTGTCATCAATTAGCAAGTTTAACAATCGTGAGAAGAAGCCGAACGCTAGGTTATAAGAGAAATTAAGCAAAGGCGCGACAAGAAGGAATTAAGCAAAGACGTTAGAAATTTAAGAAG